GTCTATAGAAAATATATATAAAATATATATAAAAACTCTATGGAAACATTTATAATCTGTAAAATTGTTTCTCTATAGAAAGTATATATAAAATGAATACAAACGCTATGGAAGTGTTTATCTGTAATTGAAATATTAAAAATTATTTAAAAAATTATATCTATAAAAAAAAATTATGTATTAATGTATATATATAAAATTTGTTCAAACTCTATGAAACATTTCTGGGACAGCTAATACGTAGCCTTATGGGAACTTTATGGGGGGGGGAGAGGGGGAGCGGGTCTGCCCCTAAACTTATCCCTCACAAATTCACCTAATCACAATGCTTTATATGTGACAGCAAAATGTTATCAACAGCCTAACCTCTTTACTGTGATAGCCCACCTAACAACCAAATTACGGCAGCTTAGGGCCATATTTCGACTTAATGTGGACGTTCCGGAATAAAGCACCAATTTTTTTTACATGCTCCTTATGGTCATAGCATTCAATTTTTGGTAGGAACCACCTCATTCGAGGTCATTATGGCGGCCATCTTGGATTTCAAAATGGCCGCCTAATAAAACCTATGTTTATCTATATCTCCGCTTCTAAACCACTTGGAATTATAATTCTAATGTCTAAGAGTATGTTTATATGATCGAAGAATACCATCATATCATTTTTGACCTGGTCAGGTTGCCACAAATGGGTCATGTAAGGTCATTCAAGGTCAAATATTGTATGGTATCTTAAAAATTACGTAATTGTCAAGTTTTACATTAGAATCATACCCAGGCTCTCAGAATTCAAACTTTTTACTATGAACTACAATATTTCATTCGAGGTCATTCTGGCAGCCATCTTAAATTTCAAAATGGCTGCCACGCAAACCTATATTTATCAATATATCGACTTTAAACAACTTCCAATAAGAATTATGATGTCAAAAAATATATTTTCATGGTCAAGGATTTATAGCACTTGTGACATGGTGAGATGGTCCTTTAAAGTCATTCAATTTCATTTCTCTGTTAAATATGTAGAAAATCTTAATAGTTTGTAAGTGGTCGTGTTTTTCAGCAAAATCATACATAAGCTCACAAATTCAATTTTTGGTAGGAACTATTTCATTAGAGATCATTATGATATTAAATTCCATGGTGACCACCATGTAAAACATGTTTTTTTCCTTTAAATATGTTTACTGTACTGCATAGTCAAAGAATAACATCAAAAGCAGTGACATGTATTTGTATTTATTATATTCGATTATATATTGAAAAAGTCTGATATCAGAAATTGTATTTAATGTGGAATTATAAATTGATATCAAAAAGAATCAGTATAATATCTGTCTCTTATACACATCTAGATGTGTATAAGAGACAGTAGGAGAAGATTACACACTAGGAGCAAGGGAAAATATAGATATAGATATATCTGAAGAGTGTTGCACCATGTGTGTGTAGCACGAAACTAAATAGTAATACATATGTCTAATCAAAGCTACTGTTGAACCTCTCATTTTTTGTCTTTAGTTTGCTCTGGTTTCATTACCATCGAGCACTCTGCTGATAATATTTGCAACACGTTCAACCGTTTTTTTTATATATGTATGTATATATGTGTATATATACAGTATTTACAGTATGTGTATATATGCATGTGTTTATTAAAGTATATATATATATATATATATATATATATATATATAATTGAATATGCAATAATGTTTTGCTCACACTATGATGACATTACTTTCATGAAATTTAAATAACATTTTGTGAGATATTAAAAATCTCATAATTTTTTGACAGGATTTGTTGGGTGTGTAGGTGTATATATGTATGTATATATATATGTGTGTATGTGTATATATGCATGTGTATCTAAGTATATATATATATATATATATAATTGAATATGCAATAATGTTTTGCTCACAATATGATGACATTATTTTCATGAAATTTAAATAATATTTTGTATTTATAATATTTAAAATCTCATAATTTTTTGACAGGATTTCTTATTGTATACCCTGGTACAGTATCTGTTTATTTAAATTAAAAATTGTGGGTTACCCCCACAAAAGTTTAAAAAAAAGTGGTGACATGGTCAGATAATTATGGTCATAAATAGGTCATTTAAGATCAATATTGTATGACATCTTAATAATACATCTTCTCAGATTGTTATTAAATAATCAGAACAGTGGCAAAGATTCTACTAGTGAAATACCTTATATACAGTATGTATATATGTATACAGACTATGCTATATATAAATTAAAATACTTTGCTGTGTAGTAGTATATAAATACAATACTAGTTAAAAGATAGAATAATAATAATGTTGTATTATATAAATATGTATCTCAAACACAGGTCTCTGTGGTTAAGAAAAATGTGCTGAGTTCGAGTCCTGGTGGAGGCTTTTGAAAGCTTTTGAAAGGTTTCCTTTTCATTCGGATCAGATTTTCCTCTTCTGTTGCATTTAAATTGTACATTATTATTAACAAAATGGGTTTATCCCATTGGTCTGTTAAATTAAATAAGTATATAAATTAAAATTATTTTTTTATTATTTGTTTTTGTATTATTTATGCGCCTAAATATAATGTCATGTAGACGTTCAGCCCTCATAGTCGGCTAATTGAAAATTAATTTAAATATTGTTAATCCGTCATAAAAAATATATATTATAATGTCAACTGAATATATATATATATATATATATGTATATATATATATATATATATATATATATATATAAACATTGTCAATAGGTAAATGATAAAAGCAATGCTTATTGCTATTTGTTTATATATAGGTTTATATATACATGTATATAGGGATATACCTTATCTGTATATCTAATAATACATATAAATAAATGTTTGTATACAGTGAGTTTAATGACAATAAAAGTATATAAAATTAGTTTAAAGCATATTAATCTCACTGAAAATTGTACATACATAATTGTACATACTATATATATGCATAGTAAAACATTTGAATTCTGAGAGTATGGATATGATTCTAATGTTCTAATGTAAAACATGAGTTACGTAATTTTTAAGATACCATACGATATTTGACCTTGAATGACCTTAAATGACCTATTTGTGGCAATCTGACCAGATAAAAATGGTAATGGTATGACCTTAAATGACCTTTTATGACATTAATGACCATCTGACTATGTCACAACTGTTATAAATCCTTGACCTTGAAATATAATTGTAGATATCATAGGCCTAACTCTCATTAAAATGGTTTAAAAACCCATATATTGATAAATATAGGATTTGCGTGGCAGCAATTTTGAAATTCAAGATGGCCGCCAGAATGACCTCGAATGAAATATTGTAGTGCATTGTAAAGATTTTGAATTCTGAGAGTCTGGGTATGGTTCTAATGTCAAATATGACAATTATGTAATTTTTAAAATACCATACAATATTTGACCTTGAATAACCTTAAATGACCTATTTGTGGCAATCTGACCAGGTCAAAAATGGTATGATTGTATTCCTTGTCCATATAAAAATAGTTTCAGACATTAGAATTATAATTCCAAGTGTTTTAGAAGCGAAGATATAGATAAACATAGGTTTTATTAGGCGGCCATTTTGAAATCCAAGATGGCCGCCATAATGACCTCGGATGAGGTGGTTCCTACCAAAAATTGAATGCTATGACCATAAGGAGCATGTAAAAAAAAAATTGGTGCTTTTGTCCCGAACGTCCACATCCATCTGTTAAGCTGCCGGACTAATTAATGTTAGTGTCGAATTGCACTTCATCAAGTGACCAATCAGCTGATTTGAATTGTCAACGGAAGCGGTAGTATTTTGAATTTTTCTCTGGACTTGTCATGATGTTAGGCAGTTATAAACATACTCCTTGGAAGTATTTTAGCAGTACTGTATTCACTATTAAGTGGTAAGAGTTGGTTTTGTTTTATTGTTTTATTATTTAGTTAGTTTACCACTCTAGACACGCTAGCCTCCTCCTAGGCCTAGTATTAGTGGTAGATATGAAGAGGCGCCTGGCCTAGCCTAAGGCCTAGGTCTAGCTGTAACGGTAATACAGTACTAGCCTAGCCGCTGTACAGAGACTGAGAACTGAGGTTCTCTCTAGGCCATTGAGGATATAGGGCTGCC